AGCAGCAGCAGCAGCAGCAGCAGCAGCAGCAGCAGAAGAGGCGCAGAGAATGGAGGGTCTCGGCGTGGCGGTGGCTGCCGTGGTCAACGGGAGGGTACAGAGGGGGGCCCCTCAGGTGCTTCCTACTCTATATCCAATAGTTCCCCAGGGGGCCCCGATGCGGGGGCCCCTGGGGGCCCCGCTACAGGGGCCCCCCCTTATGTAGGCAGCTATGGACTTCGTGCAGTAATAGAGCATCAGGGGCGCTGCGGTGACGGCGGTCATTATGTTTGTTATAGGAGAGGAGGTACTAGGGGCCCCTATGGGGGGCCCCCTGTAGGTAGTACTCCTGGGGCCCCTGGGGGGGCCCCGACAGGGGGGCCCCCAGGGGGCCCCCCTGAAGAATGTGATGATGATGTATGGTGGGTAGTTAATGATGTTTGTGTATCAAGGAGCTCATGGGAAGAAGTAAGGAGGACACAAGCCTACCTCCTCCTCTATGAGCGTTCCTATGACGAGCAGCAGCAGCAGCAGCAGCAGCAGCAGCAGCAGCAGCAGCAGCAGAAGCAGCAGCAAGAGCAGCAGCAGCAGCAGCAACAGGTAAAAGAGGTAGAGGGCAAGAAAAAAAAGGGTACTAATAAAACCCTTAATAGACCCCGCAGGAGGCCCGGGGCCCCCTCCTCATAAATATAAATCTTTTTGTGTTATTTATTAAAGAAAAAAAAGGAAAAAAAAAAAAGAAAAAAAAAAGGAGACACTTTTTTTATTTATAAGTGTCTCCTTTTTTCTTTTTTTTTTTTTTTTTTTTTTTTTTTTTTTTTTTTTTTTTTTTTTTTTTTTTTTTTTTTTGTGTTTTTGTTTAGCAAAAAGGAGACACTTTTTTATTTATTAATAAAAGTGTCTCCTTTGTTTGTTGCATGCATTATTATTAAATAAATAAATAAATAAATTAAATAAATAAACTTTATTATTATTTATTATTATTAATATATTTATATAAATATAATTAATTGTCTCCTTATATTACAATTAATTAATAAATAAAAAAGGAGACAAAAGGAGAAAAAAAAAAAAAATAGTTGTCTATACACCTGAATACTAGGCAATAAAAGAGAGAATTAGGGTTTAGGGTTTAGGGTTTAGGGTTTAGGGTTTATAGAGGCAAATAGAGAAAAAGAAAAGGAGACAATTAATAAATAAAGGAGACAATAAAAAAGAGACAAAAAGACATAAAGGAGACATATAATAAATAAAAAGGAGACAGATAGAGGGGGGAGGGGGGGCCCCTGTCTCCTATACAAGGGGGGGCCCCTGTCTCCTTTTCCCTTTTATACTCTTATATATAAGGGACTGTCTACTAAATAAATAAATAAATAAGTAAATAAATAAATAAGTAAATAAGTAAGTAAATAAATAAATAAATAAATAAATAAATAAATTAGTAAATAAATAAATAAATAAATAAATAAATAAATTAGTAAATAAATATATAAATAAATAAATAAATAAATGTCTCCTTTTTATAAGGTAGTCCCTCTCCCTTTCTTATGTTGTTATATTTAATAATAATAAAAAATAAATTAGGGTTTAGGGTTTAGGGTTTAGGGTTTTATACTATACTATAATTTCTGTAGTATAGATTGCATGCAAGGAATATAAACCCTCTATGTATCCCCTTGATAAATTATTTACGAGGGTTTAGGGTTTAGGGTTTAGGTGTTGATTAATTAGGGTTTAATAGGAAATAATTATTGTATAAAACCCTAAATTAGGGTTTATAACCCTAAATTAGGGTTTAGATATAAACCCTCATAAGAGCAGCAGCAGCAAGGGTAGCAGCTTGTGGGGGGTGGGGCTTTCGAGCGGCGCTGGCTGGGGCTCTAAACCCTAAACCCTAAACCCTAAACCCTAAACCCTAAACCCTAAACCCTTGAGGAGAATTATTTATTGGTTGGTGGCGTTATTCTTATTGAATAATTTATTTTTATTTCTTATAGGGCGTGTGGCTGTTGCTGCTTCCCGTCACCGCCACTACAGCTGCTGCTGCTGCTGCTGCTGCTGCTGTTGCTGCTGCTGCTGTTGCAGTGTATGCATGCATAAGAAAGCACATAATAAATTGCATAGAAATATAAACCCTAAACCCTAAACCCTAAACCCTTTAGGTGTACGTACACCAAAGAAGTATTGAGGATGAGTAACAAGTACGTACCGCCGCATTTACGTGGTGGGGGAGGTTCTGCTGCAGGTGCAGCAGCAGCAGCAGCAGGAGGAGGAGGAGCAGCAGGAGGAGGGGCCCCCTCCTCCTCAGCAGCAGGAGGAGGAGGAGGTCGTCCTGCAGCAACATTAGAGGGAGCAGCAGCAATAGTGAATAACATACTGCGTGCCCGTACAGCAGAGGAGGGAGGAGGGCAGCAGCAGCAGCAGCAGCAACAGCAGCAGCAACAGCAGCAGCAGCAGCAGCAACAACAACAATCTGGTGAGGGGCCCCAATCAGGGGGGCCCCCAACAGAGACAAAAGGGGCATGGGGCTCATGGGGTAGGGGGGCCCCCAACCTACGAAGTACTAAACCTATACAACAAAGACATACAAATCTACGAGTAGTAGAGGTTGATGCTCTTGTTCTTATGAAAATTATTAAACATTGGAGGTTAGGGTTTAGGGTTTAGGGTTTAGGGTTTAGGGTTTGGAGGGTTTAGAGGGTTTGGAGGGGTTTTGAGGGTTTATATGCTTATTATGTACTTTTTTTCCCTTTTTTTGTCTCTTTTTCTTTTTCTGTCTCCTTTTTTCTCTTCTTTCTCCCTTTTTGTCTCTTTTTATCTCTTTTTTTCTCTTCTTTTTCTTTTTTTGTCTCCTTTTTGTCTCCTTTTTTTCTTTTTTGTCTCCTTTTTGTCTCTATTTTATATTTATGCCTATAATAAATCTTGTATAATAAAATAAATTAAATATAATTAATTAAATATAAATAAATAAATAAATAAATATATTTATTTATTTATTTATTTATTTATTTATTTATTTATTTATTTATTTATGTATAGGGACTTCCATCCTTTACCAGTAAATGGCCAATTATTAGGCACAGAAGTTCGTGATAAATTAGAGGTTACTAATTGCTTCCCTTTACCACAAAAAAAGGTAATTAATTAATTAATTTATTTATTTATTTATTTATTTATTTATTTATTGTCTCCTTTATTGTCTCTTTTTTTTTGTCTCTTTTTTTGTCTCCTTTTTATGTGTTTATTATGTTACTAATTCCTTCCCTTTGCCACAAAAAAAAGGTAATTAATTAATTAATTAATTATTTAATTAATTAATTAATTAATTAACTGTCCCCTTTTTTTTTGTCTCCTCTTTGTCTCCTTTATTGTCTCCTTTTTTTCTCTCCTTTATTGTCTCTTTTTACTCCCTAGTACATATATAAGATCG